CCTAGTGTGCAACACTCACCAAAACTCCCTACCCATCTACAACGCCTCGACTGCCCTGCCAAGGCCATCCGTGTAGAACAATGATATCATAGCTTCGAAAATCGCATCCTGAGTCGAACACCTCACAGCGCTCACGCCTGCTGGAAGTGGCCGTAGAGATCAGTGACGTGCATATTCTGGCGAGCGAGCAGATCAAGAAACGCTTGCCCCTGCATCATGCTCGGCATGAATCGTGGTGCTGGCGCTTCGATGAGCTGCTTCCGACACATGGGGCAGGTAACTTTGTTCTTGTGTGTTCTGCACGTATCAAACTAGGTCATGTGAGCAAACATCTGCCATCTCCAAGCGACTACCACTTACCCATTGACCTATGCAGAACTCTCCAAACGTGTGTCCACACGAGAGCTCAATCGCAATTTCTTCCTCTTCCGTAGGCGACACACGTGTAGCGGCATAGTCTTTCTGGCAAATGTCACAAGCCTTGGACGCTTTCTCTGGAAGCGTACTTGGTAGATGGCGCTGGAGACTGGTTTTCAATTGTTCAATCTGGCGAGCGGTAGCAATGTTGGGATCGAATTGAGGCGGGTAGCGGCCCGCGATACGCGGCCGCACTTCTCTAGATCGATGCCTCATACGACTCAGCGGCGGCGCACGGGCAGCCGCTTCTTCTGCGTCAGACGACGTGCTGGAGTGGGAGAGGTCAACCGAGTATCGTTCAAAGTTACGGCGATTCGACGTGCGCGGGGATACGCTACGGTCTGAGCGGCGGCTTGGAACCTCGTGTGACGGCCACGGACGTTCAGGCAATCCAGAATACAGTGCCTCACCTGGGTGGATTGCTTGTTGAAGTGGTGGTCGCGGATGCTGAAACCGGGCTTCCGGGGGTGCTACTGAACCCCGTGGTTCGGGGAAGCGTGTGTTGTCAGTAGGCATACTACCTGCCACAGCCCCGGCACTCATTCTGTGGTCGTGTCTTCTGTAATCATTGCGATGTCGGGGATTCGAAGGAGGCGCGGCATGTGGTGACCCTAGAAGCGGAAAGTTGTGACTCGGTGCTCCTAAATGATGGCGCAGCTGGTCACCCTGTGAAGTGACGCCGGTGTCGTAGAAGGCCTGGCCGGGATAAAGGTGCGGAGGCCCGTTCCAGGTTTGCGATGGTCTTTGAGGGTTTGTGAACTGGTACGAGTGTGCATGAGGAGCATAGTAGTGGTGACGCATTCCAATAGGTGGCAAAGCTGGACATAATTGTGGGTGGCTGCTGGTAGACACATTTGGTGCATCCTGAGCCTGAGACATGGAGGGGCTGCTATTGGACATGTATGGATTTCGATACAACGTTGGAAGTTGTTGTTGGAACGGTGTATGCGCGGCGAGAAGCGGGGCAGTCAGCTCTGCATCTGAGTTTCGAGCGCCTATCCTATCGTGAACCCAGGGACCGGCGCCGTATTCAGACTCAGCCATACGAGCAGTTCCACAGACGTCTTGCACCTTTTTTCACGAGCTGTGTCGTTTCGTAAGCTGTGTCGATCGGTGGCGAGCAAAGGTCTGGAGGAACGCGGATGTTGACGCTATCGTGTATCGACTGCGAACAACTGTCAGAACAACTCGGCCTTGATTGAGGCAGTCGTTGGGCAGAGGGGTTCGTGGTAGAAGGCTCGATCAGCGTCATGGGAGCCTTATCTGCGGCTAAGCAAGTACGTGCGGCCCAGCTGAAGCCGTGCTTCACGGACGGAATAATGCAAAGGTGGAGTGAGCTTGAAGACACAATAGCAGGCTGAAAAAGACAGCAGACCGCAGATGCAAACAGGAGTGTTTGTGGAGGCTGGAAACTGGGCCGTAGGTGAAGATGAGGGGTTATTAGCTCCATGTTACGTTGGCACGCTCGAAGGCGAGCGCCCAGCATGGATCGAAAGGATGGTGGAGACAGATCAGGTGCACTCCGACTTGACTCGCTACGTTAATCTAATATGACCAGTCGTCGGAAGACGGAAAGCGCAGGGCACATGGTTCCAAGGCGTCACGCCCCGACCTAGCTTCCAGACGTACTTGGTCGTTTGCCCTCATAGCTCTAGATCGTCAGTATCGAATGCAGGAGCCCTCATCATCACCCAATAAATCGGACCCTCAGCCGTACCCAGCGGCGCGATGCAGGCGGAAGTTTGGGTAGGGACAGGCTCTCGGTACGAGGTGTGTTTCACTCAACAGGGTGTGCCCGATAATGCCGAAGCTTTTGATCGGTGGCTATGCAGAGACTCCACTAGCCCGACCGGAGCGGCCAAAGCATATATATGCAGAGGGTGAGCCAGAGTCTCGAGCAGATGGCATAGGCGCGGCCCTACAAGCGTCCTGCGCGAGGTAATGGAAAAAGTTGGAACAGTGGCTGGCCGGGGCTGTGGGACATGAGCGAGACGCCGCATCAGCGCAGACGAGGCGACGGAACGCTTGACGTTGCAATGCGGAGGGCATCACGGGCTAACCTTGGAATGCTGAGGCTTTGGCGCCGGAGTGCGGAAGGCGAGCGGCAGGAGAACATGGTGCTGAGCGGCGGTATTCTGAGCTGGCGGTACAAGTAAGCAGAAAATTCATGCCGACCACATTCTTTCATGCTCAAGTTCGCGTTCTTGGAGCCTTCATCCACTCTGGGCTTGGCACCCCGCCGGTCATGTGACGGCGAGTTATGCCGCGGGAGAGACCGGAGGCAATTCCCGCGAGCATGAGGTCAGAGCTCGGAACGGCAGCATTTTGCGTCGCAGCAATTATCCCAATTATCCATCTTCTGTCTTTTGACTTGCAACTTGCGCTCTAGTTCCGCTGCGCACACGATTAGCCAATTCGGCGTCTTCTCCACCCCCTCTCCCCATCCTGCCCCCCGCCAGCAGCTGCTGCTACCATGTTCCGAAGCGCAACGAAGCTCCGCGCCGCCGAGGCCGGAGCATTACGATCACTCGCACATGCAAAGGCCAGCCCCTCCTTCTGCTGTGCCCGCAGCACGCGTGCCCTCTCCACCACTCCCCGTACCCCGCTGAAGACGCAGAGCCTCTTCCAGCGCCGCCAGTTCAGCGTCACCAGCACCATGGCCAACACGCGCACCGAAAGCGATGCCTTTGGCGAGATCCAGGTCCCGTCGGACAAGTACTGGGGCGCCCAGACGGAGCGCTCGCTCGAGAACTTCAAGATCAACCAGCCCCAGGACCGCATGCCGCCGCCCATTGTGCGCGCCTTCGGCATCCTCAAGGGCGCCGCTGCCACGGTCAACATGAAGTTTGGGCTGGACCCCAAGCTCGGCCAGGCTATCCAGCAGGCCGCTGAGGAGGTGGCCTCGCTGAAGCTCATCGACCACTTCCCGCTCGTTGTCTGGCAGACGGGCTCCGGCACCCAGTCCAACATGAACGCGAACGAAGTCATCTCCAACCGCGCCATTGAGATCCTCGGCGGCACCATGGGCTCCAAGAAGCCAGTCCACCCCAACGACCACGTCAACATGTCCGCCTCGTCCAACGACACCTTCCCCACCGTCATGCACATCGCCGCCGTTCTCGACTTCGAGGAGTCGCTCCTGCCTGCCCTCGCCAGCCTGAGGGACGCGCTGAAGAAGAAGGCCGACCAGTGGGAGAGCTTGATCAAGATTGGCAGGACACACTTGCAGGATGCCACACCCCTGACCCTCGGCCAGGAGTTCTCTGGCTACGTACAGCAGCTCGACTTTGGCATTGAGCGGATAAAGACCTGTCTTCCGCGCCTCAAGATGCTGGCCCAGGGCGGAACCGCCGTCGGAACGGGCATCAACACGTTCAAGGGTTTCGCAAAGGACATTGCTTCGGAAGTCAGCAAGATGACCGGCAAGGACTTCGTCACCGCACCCAACAAGTTCGAGGCTCTCGCTGCCCACGATGCCATCGTCGAGGCCCACGGCCAGCTCAACACCCTCGCAACCTCCCTGTTCAAGATCGCCCAAGACATCCGTTTCCTCGGCTCCGGCCCCCGATGCGGTCTCGGTGAGCTGAAGCTGCCCGAGAACGAACCCGGTTCCTCCATCATGCCCGGAAAGGTCAACCCCACACAGTGCGAATCCCTCACTATGGTCTGCGCCCAGGTCTTCGGTAACCAGGCCGCTACCACCTTCGCTGGATCACAGGGTAACTTCGAGCTCAACGTCTTCAAGCCCGTCATGATCCGGAATCTGCTGCACAGCTCGCGTCTGCTCGCCGACGGCATGAGGAGTTTCGAGAAGAACCTCGTTGCTGGTCTTGAGGCTGACGAGAAGCGTATCAGCTCCATCATGAGCGAGAGGTGAGTTCCTCTCCCCTAAGTGTGGTTTCATCGCATAGCTAACTTGACACAGTCTCATGCTCGTTACCTGCCTCAACCCCGTCATCGGATACGACGCCGCTAGCAAGACCGCTAAATACGCACACAAGAACAACCTCACGCTCAAGGAGGCTGCGCTTAAGCTCGAGGTCATCAGCGAGTCGGACTTTGACAAGTACGTCAGGCCCGAGCTTATGGTCAACCCCTCCGAATACAAGCCCAAGAACTAGGCGCCGTGATGGGAAGTAAATAGTAAAAATGTAAAATACAATACAATACAGCATGCGTTGGAGCGGAGACGAGTCAGGCGTCATTCATACTATCGCGTCACGATCATTCTCATGACACTGATATCGTTATCGTGATGCTGGTGCAATGAAAATACAAGCTTAGTGCTAAGATAACTATTTGAGAGGTTGATAAGTTTGGTCACGTCACTCTGATACGCATCAAGACGTACAGATGGGTTATAAGTATACCATAGCATATCAACTAAACACTTTCACAGTGCCCAACACATCACCTATTCACCCCTAGGTTATCACTGATACCTTTCAGTAAGATTCTACGATCCCACTGCTCATTCCGTACGTCCATATCCATGGCATCATCCTCGCCTATTGCAACTGCCGTCCCATCCGCAATCTCACATCGTGATGCCCTTCGGTTGACCATTCCATCTGCATTCCTGGTCATTGCCTCTGCTGCATGACGTCCATGGCAGTTGATGGACGATTTTGATTCAGATGTTGTTGTTGTGCCGGTCGCTGTGTCTGTTGCTGAGCTTGTTGCTGAGCCTGTTGTCGCACTTGTTGCTGCCATTGCTGCTGCGTTGAATACTGACCCTGCTGTTGCGCCGGTCGATCAATCCGTTGTCGCTTCTCGGGCACTTGTCGAAAGAATGTAGGCTGTCCAGGTGCGGTGAGGTCAATGGTATCGGCGAATGACTGTTTTCCTTGTCGAGCATCAGACACAGGTGCGTGCTGCATGTACATGGCCTGTTGGAACGCCACGGGAGCGGAGGATGTGTTTTGTGACCAGTTATCATGCGTCGGCCTGGGATGTGTCAGATTCGCCGCGGGTGGTGATGGATACGCTGACTGTAGTGCTGGTGCTCGGGCAGGCTGTGCGCTTTCTGCGTCTTGAAGTAGGTGCTAGTCCGATTTATTAGTTTATGATCATAGGCAGACATCATGGAGATGATGTGGTAGGTACTCACGGGAAATGCGTTATCCTGGACGACCTTTTTGAGAGAGGTCTCTATATTTTGTAGGTGCTGACCCCTTAGCCCATTCAGGAGTACAACATTATACTCCATCCTCTGCTTTACCTCTTCCCGGTGGTCTTGAATAGTCGTCTGGAGGGAGGTAGTAAGGGCGTCGCTTACTGCAGCAAACTGCTCGTGGGTGACACACTTGGCGGTCATGTCTGTATGGTCATTGCGCATCTTGCCGTAGTTCTCTTCCAATACGCAGACCCTATTGTCAAGTTTGCGAGATGCAGGGGTACCGCGGTGCTTTTCCAATGCGACGAGTCGTTCTTTGCAGATCCTAACTGAGGCAACTTCATTCTTCATGCACAAGTCCATTGCATCAAGCTTGGTCCGAAGGCCGTCGAGAGCGAAATTAACTGTTGCGGTAGTCGGGGGTGTCAATGTCGGCGTTTGCATAGAATGGAGGGCGACTTCCGACACGCCCAGGCGGGCATCTAGGGAATCGAGTCTGGTAGTTATGGCCTGAGAAGCTCGCAGTGCCGCATCATGCGATACCACAGCATTTTCAAGCTTCTCGACGCGGTGATTCATGCCTTCCAGGAGCTGTGGTTCTACCATCGCATTTCCGAGCTCTTCCATACGCTGAGAGTTATGGTCCAGGACCAGAGCTGTTTTTTCGAACGCTTCCGTATGCTCGCGGGATTGTGCTTGCACGGTATCAATAGCGGTGGAGAAGTGATCTGTCGTAGTGGCGAGCTTTTCCGCCGTCTCGGTTCTGAGGAGTTCTAGACCTTTGATCCAGGCGGTTTTGTTGTGACGCAAGCATTCTTGGGTATGAACCACTGCTGTCTCGAAGCGATCTTCTAGGTCCTCTCTGAGATCGACAATGCTCTGGATGTAGGTATTGCCAGACCGTTCCAGCGACTCAATTTTCTGCGTGGATTTTGACACGAGTCGATCTGTCCTTTGGAAATTTGCGGTAGTGATAGTCTTCTGGGCAAGGAACTGGTTGGAGAGATCATGTGACTTTTGATCAATTCGGGTGATTGACTGTTGCGAATTATTGATCGTAGTCTCTAGTCGCTGGTTTCGATCCCTCTCAGCATCCAGTTCGTTTCGCAGCTGCTGATTCTGCGCCTTCTGAGTATCAATATGGCCTTGCAGTCCTTGGTTGTCCGCTTCGGACTTTCTCTTAACGTCTTCGACAAGCTGTTTGAGATGCGCCATTTGCGCTTCCATGCCGTCCACCCGGCCGTTCAGTAACTTGACTTTATCATAGACGAATTTGAAACATTTCCTCAAGTGCCCAGTGACATGTTCAGTGTCCATCCATGGATAGACGGTGGAAGCAGGTTTGCTCCGACTCTGCTCCATGATGTCGACTTTCATCATCGCAAGGTCCACGGTTCTCGAGAGTTGCTTCCTGTAAAGATTGACGCTTCTCTGTAACAATAATGCGAGCTTCCGCTTGCTGAATGCCGAGGTGTCTGAGACAACTGGTTGGAGAGATGCGAAATTTTCCCTAGTCACGCGTAGATCACAGTAAGAAGCCGTATCTTTACGGGAGAAGACGTAATGCATAGGGCCATGGTCGACCCTCTCCATGGTAGCGATTCTCCGCTCTCCCGTACATGTATCAAACGTACCATGGAATGGATCCCTGCTTCCAAGCTAGAGCGTCCAATCATACAATGCAATGTCTATCGTTGCCACCCAGGTTGGAACGCTGGAAACGACAACTCGACTCCTACTGCTCACCGCCACAAGCGAGCTGCAAAAGGGCGTTCGACATCTCCAAAATAGGCACCGATGGCGAGAGCACTACAGCCGCAGCCACCATACCAAGAGGTATATGGTTGGAGAGCGAGCAAACTGTGACGTATCGGGCTGGAACTTTGCAGCCTGGTGGCGCTATCTGGGACTGTTTGCTTCATGACGGCGAAAATCTGCTCGCCAACACAGAAGAAGGGCCTCAGGAACAAACGCGAGGTCGGGGAGGTCGTTCTCGTTTCCGTCCAGCCAATCGCAAAATGCAGATGGAAGGTATGGACGCTGTTTTCCTTCCGGTGGGGTCGTGGGTAGAGACACCACTAGGCTGTACAGCTGCAGGCGCGTGTGGTTCCGAAAAGATAGGGAACTTGCTTTGACAGCCTGTCAACGTGGCCCCGTTGTAGTTAGGGCGTTCTTGGTGTGGCACGAAAGAGAAGATGAACGCGATAAAGATGGAGGCGAGGCGAGCACCAGGCGGTCCGATGCGGCGCTACTGGCACGCTAAGAAGAGCTAGCTTCGGCAGTCAGTCCCCCGCCATTATCATGCCACCCACATGCTTTCAATTCAGCCCGCTACACGCATGCTTAGCTTTACGGCCTTGCTGCAGAGATGTCGATGTCCTCGCTTTCCCTTGTTTGTCAGCCCCCATCCGTGCCGCCGTGGCGTTTCGGCGCCATGTCGCATGGCTTGCCGCTGCCTCGCCGGCTCAGAACGCCTGCCAATACCGTGCGTGGAAGCCGCTGGGCCATTACATGAATACGATATGTCTCATTCATACACGTGCCGGTGATCTTCTCCAGAATCGTTTACTGGGTTCCCGTTATCGTTATGGCGCGAGCTGAGCTTCCCGCTGCTGTCTGCGTATTGTCAGAGCGCCTTCTCGTCCAGGAAGAAGCCTTGTAAGAGGGGAAGCTCGCATCTGCGGGACTGTACCCGACTACAAGTAAGTGTGTTATACACACTGGATCTAATGCACGCAGAAAACAGTACATGCATACCCGGATATTCGGTAGGCCTATCATCGCAAATCATTTAGTCTCCAAAATCATTACCCGGGTTGAAATATTAGTCTTAGAACCTATATACAACACCACCCTAATTCAAGTAAGAGACTGAATGTCCTATTGTCTAAGTCGACGTTGGCTCGCATACTTTGCATTTTTACAGGTTAATGTAGGCTCCAGAGTGTTCAGTCTTTCCTGGAACAAGGTGACACAACGGACTTCCGCATCGAAAGATGTACGCTTAGACGGCTACGAACTGAAAGGCCTTGTCTTAGAGCTATGTCGCAACAACTTTCAATGTCGTACGGCATGACTCAATGTGTCTATAGAACTTGCTCACAGACAACCCTGCGAACCGGGAGTGAAGACCTCGCGGGGTCTATGAACGCTCAGGCGGAATATTGCAAGACATGTTGGACCGATGTTGAACTCACCCGTTCATGTTCGGGTGACGTACCAGTCGCAGCTACGTCATGGCCCTCAGCCATGCAGCTGAGTAATGGCTTACGAACAATCCGCCTTCACTGCTTGAGCGAGCGACAGTCGTGACTAGGACAAGACAGCACATAGGGGTTTCATCCTCACGTGGAACTGTCAACAGTGGTATGCGGCCCGCTTCCTGAAAGCGGTATACGTGCTGAACGCTGGTGCATGCCGACCTCGCTTCTAGAACGCGCAGCGAAGGCTTATTTTGCAACGTGCCCTAGCTTTGATTACTATGCAATACAAACAGAAACCATATACCCAGAGGGGAACCTACCCAGAGCACCGAGCAATACTCGTCGGATCAACGTGGTGGCTGTTACTTGTCTGCAAGTTGTATCCCGTCCGTGGCTCTTTGCGCGGTTGATGAATTTCTTGTCTTCTCCAACGGACACTGCCTAGGAATGATACTTACCCCACAGATCAAGCATGTTGGGAATCATGCGATTGAGGATTCACAGTGCTCATGGATCCACCGACGCTTGTCCATGACCGGCCGTAGTCTCCGACATTGGCCGCTCGTACGAGTCCATTGCTGTGCAAACAGGCGATCTCAGGTCAACCGAGAATTTGGTCTTTGGATCTACAGGCACTCCCATGCTAAGAACTTGGTACTCCCCAGAGATTCTCCATGGGGGTGGGACCTTGAGCTCAAAACTCGCGAAACTGAAGGAATAGCAATCATGAACAACGATCGTAGTCGGTGGCGGGCTTACTACCCTCCTTCGAGTCTGTCTCGATGCCCATCATTACCAAGTGAGATTGGAGATAGCACTCCTCCATACTTCCGCGTCATTCCTATTCGCTTCATGTGCATCGCGTACACGAGGTATACCGACGTTGTCATCCCACTTTTCAGCCTCACTAATGTGCTTGAGGGAGTACTTCCGCAAGACTTGTATCGCGTAGCTCTTCTATCCACTGTTGTACGGCAAGATTACCTAAACAAGCTACATTAGATTCCTAGCTTTCGAATTTCGCATCAATAGCAGGCCTCCATATCGCGACGTTTCAGGCTAGAGAGTGCTGCGCGGCTCTGCTCGGACCCCGGCCTCCTCCTACCCCAGAGACCCGCCAATCAAGACCCATCAACATGACAAGCACCCTTGAAAGCTTGTCGCGGGGCCCCATGGGCTCAAGTGGGTTGATGATAGCAGAGTGTACCCACACCGAGGTCGAATCTAGAGTGTATAAAGTATATAAGCTCTCCAAGCTCACCATGTCTGCTTGGCTTTTGGCATCGGCTTTTGCTTATTCGTTCTTCGCACTCCGTGGCGTCCAATCAGCTTACACGCTAACTCGAAATGGCGGGCTTTGCCGAACCCAAGCGAGATGGTACCCCTGCGGTCGACGATGGAGTCCTGGAGAAGAGCCTCAGTCGTCAGGCCGAGATCTTCGAGGACAAGGAGCTCATGACCGATGCTCAGGCAGCTGAAAGCCGCGAACATGATATGGGAATGTGGGAAGCCATGAGGGACCATCCTATGGCTTGCTTTTGGGCTTTCATCTTTTGCTTTACTATCGTAAGTCTTTGACCCCTGCTAGCATTTCCAATAAGATGTCGCTGACACTGAACAGGTCATGGAGTCTTTCGATATGTTCTTGAACGGCAACTTTGTTGCTCTTGCCGCGTTCAAAGAACGATATGGTGTTCAGGTCGCTGGCGAAGTTGGCAAGACAATCCCTACCAAGTGGCAGAGTTCACTATTCCAAGCTGGCCAATGCGGTGCCTTCATTGGAGTCTTCCTCGCTGGTCCTATAACCAACCGTCTTGGTTACCGCTGGACTACTTTGCTGGCACTTATGCTGATGAATGCGACCATCTTCATTTCCTTCTTCGTAAGTATGATAATCCGTGATCTCATTTCTGGGACTAACAGTACCCAGGCCGATTCGCTCGCAGTGCTCGTCATTGGGCAAGCTTTCGAAGGTATCCCATGGGGCATGTTCATCGCGAACTCGCCGGCCTACGCCAGTGAGGTCGTTCCTCTGGTTCTTCGTGGTGCCTGCACGGCTACACTTCAGATGTCTTGGTCTATTGGAAGCATCATTGTCGCTGCTGCGACCTACAGCTACAACAAGCGAAACGACGAGTGGGCGTGGAGAGGTCCTCTGGCCCTACAGTGGGTATTTCCTGTAAGTACCTTCTTCTTCCGCTCCCTTACGATAGCTGACATCCCTAGACCCCTCTTATGGTTCTCATCTTCTTCGCACCCGAATCGCCATGGTGGCTAGTGCGCAGAGGGCGCAAGGAACAGGCGCTGAAGTCCATCAAGCGCCTTGGTCGTAGAAACGGAACTCAAGCGGCCGCCGAAGACACGCTTGCTATGATGGAGCGCACAGTGCAGATCGAAGCTCACAAGGGCGGCGAGCCTTCTCTCCTTGATCTCGTCAAGGGAGTCGACCTCCGCCGGACACTCATTACCTGCTTGATCTACGCGTCTCAGAACTTCGCTGGCAACCTGATCGCCAACCAAGCAACGTTCTTTTTCGAGCGTAAGTCAAGAATCGCCGCAATTCCTAAAGATGCAACGCTGACTGTTCGCAGAGGCTGGGATGTCCTCTGACTTCTCTTTCAAGCTGAACTTGATCAACTCGTGCCTGCAGCTGGTAGCCAACATCTGCGCGTGGCCTCTCAGCAACTTTTTCGGCCGCCGCACAATTTATCTCGGTGGAACCGCCATCAACATCTGCCTGCTCTTCGTTCTTGGAATCTGCGCTTCCATCCCCCAGAGCAGCGCGACCAACTACGCCCAAGCTTGTTTGGGCATCGTCATTTCGTTCGTCTTCGCAGGAGCCATGGGTCCGATCTCATACTCCATCATCGCCGAAACATCATCCGTCCGTCTCCGCGCGCTAAGCACTGGTGTTGGCCGAGCCGCATACTATGTCGCCGAGATTCCCATGATCTACCTAGCCTCGCAGATGCTCAATCCCACGGGCTGGAACATGGCTGGTAAGTGTGGATACGTGTGGGGCGGTACAGCTTGCGTCTGCTTCATCAGCGCATACTTCGGCCTCCCTGAGCTCAAGGGCCGCTCATACCGTGAGCTTGACATTCTCTTCAACCGGAAGATCTCCGCGCGCAAGTTTAAGTCCACCGTCATCGACGTCAG